CCCCCCCCCTTACTCTGTCTCTCTCTGTCTCCCAGTTGCCATATCATTTGTTCAACGATCCCAGGATCGCGAGACAAATGGAGTTACGTGGCCCGCGATGACGGTCAGCGGGGAGCTTCAGCAGTGACAGGCAGCAGCCCCGGAGCCCATCCCAACCTCACACACAGTACCCGTTCGGTGGCCATGTGCCCAGTGACCTTTAGACAATGCTGGACCTTGGCCTTACACTCATCAGCCAGGCAGGGCCTACCCCTGACCTTGGACTGGCAGGGCAGACAGTGAGAGAAACGTCTGCCGGGGCAGAAAATACACTTTGCAAGGGAAAGGCACACAGGAGCAGGCGTGACCCCATGAGGAGGCCCAATCCTAAAGCGCTGTCCTGAGTTCGAAACACAGAGGCAGGTGAGCGCTCTGGGGCCAGCTGCAGCCATCTGTCCCACCATAAGCCACCACCTGTGCCATCCAGGTCCCAGAGCCTGAGCCTCTCACCGTCCTGGGTCTCGGGGCAAACCTGATGTCCTGTCTGCGAAATGGGTGCCCTGATACGCTGTGCAGGGCTGTCGAGGGATTCAGGAGCTCACACAGATGCAAAGTGTCCCCAGGGGCTAGTGTCTCCATTCCCAGAGTTACTTCCATCGGACATCCAGTGTTTGCAAAATGCTTTATTGTTATTGCTGACACTAAAACGCACTCTCAGTCACCAGTATCTTCAACTGATCCCTCTAGTATTTGCAACAGGCCTCCGTCCTCCCGCCCCCAGCCGACTCCAGGAGGTTGTGACTGAAGCCACAGGATGGTTTTGGTGCTGTGATGGGCCATTTCCACCCTGCGGTCCACTGGCTTTTCTTCAATGACAAGTAGCACTTGAATGTATTAAAATCCACCGTGACTGGCACGGAAAACCCCAGCCTCCTTATATGATGTCAAGGAGACTTCAGCCCTTGAGCTGACCCTGCGTTGTGTATATGGGGGAAATAGAGGCCCAGAGAGGGACACTATTAGCTTTATGTCCTACAGCTGGTTAGCTGGGACAGAAGCCCCATTCCGGACTCCCATTTCAGTGTTCTTTCCAGCAGATAAATGCAACCACGCACGGGAAGCATGATGGATTTAAACCGTGATGAGTTGATAGCCCGTATTACTAGCAGGTGGAGGACTGGGCTTGGAAATACATTTCTCGGTAGAGATGTGAACCGCAGCAATCCCACAGAGCTTTGCGGCACCGGGCTGGGCGTCAGGTGCCTGGGCTGTGGGTGCCTCTCTATCGCTAACATGCTGTGTGACCTTGGGCAAGTCAACCAGCCTCTCTGGGCCTCAGTGCTAGACTCCGCTGATGAAGGGCGATGGCAAGACCGAACGTTCTTCTTCAAGGCACCCCACGCCTTGCAGTTGTGTGAGAAGAAGCAAATCATCAGCATATCAGTGCTATTATCGTTATTACTTGTAAAAACTTCAGTAGTCAAGGAAACGAAACCTGTGTGGATCAGCTCCCAGCGGATAGATGCCACAGAGCCTTCACCTGCCACCACGGAGGCCTGTGGCCTTTCAGGGGAAACACCCACCTCAGGGGTGGGCCACTTTGCCAAGGAAGAGAATGTTCGTGAAGTTCTCTACAATGAGCATGATAAAGGGCCTGTTGAGGATGACCCTGGGAGAGCTAACTGGGGCCGACCTGAACATGAGGACCGTCTCTGTGGCTGCAGCCGCTTTGGTCCCCGACTCGTCCACCTCCACCACGGCCTTGTGCACCATCTGCGGAGGAGACATCGGGTGTCACCAAGCCACCGGGGCTGGAAGATACCATCACGGGAGCCCGCAGAGCTTCTGCCTGTGGCGTCACCGTCAAAGTCTCCGTGCGGCTGTGCCCCAAAGCAGGCAGCACACGGGACGATTGTGTGGCTAGGATCTGTGCCTGGAGGTGACTGCACATGGGCCTCCCATTGAATGCTCATGGCACCTCCCGGCAGGGATGTGATTGGGCCTCCAATTTTATGTAGAGAAAAGAGGCTCAGAGAGGTCACGCAATTGTTGGAGGTCACACAGCTAAGTGAGTGAAGGAGGTAGCACCTAATTCTTAGTTTTGATGGCTTCATTGGGGGGCTCCTTCCCCTAAGACACATTGCAAACAGGATAAGACACAAAGGGTACCTTTGCTTCTTGAAGGAAGAGAGGAGAGTGAAAGAGAGAGGGAAAATATGGAATGGAATGGAATGGAATGGAATGGAATGGAATGGGAGGGGTGGAGTGGAGTAGAAAGGAATAGAATAGAAAGGAATAGAATAGAATAGAATAGAATAGAATAGAATAGAATAGAATAGAACAGAACAGAAATCTCTGAAAGCAGGGGCTCAGGAGCTTCTGAGCTCACCTCAGACACCTGGATGTTGGAGTGGTTGGTGATGCCAGTCAGGTCAGCATGGGAGGTGAAGACGTCATTGATGCCCAGCTTGGGGAGGACTTTCTCCAGCTGGTAGGAGCCCTCAATGGAGAGCTTGGGAAGGTAGAGCTCAAGCTGCCTGGAAAGAGGAGAGGAAATTTCTTAGACTCTTCCAGAGCATCGGCTCACTGAGCTCATCTCCCCGCTATCTCCCCTCGGCTTCATAATGACCCTTCAGCCCCCCGTCTAGAGCTCCCCCCCCCACTCTGCACTGGGACCTGGGCTGCCCCCAGAGTTCCCCGCCCACTCCGATGGCACCCTGGGACACTGGGCTTCCGGCCCTGCTCCCTCCAGCTGGGCCAGGGCCCCGGAGGCTAAGACTTCACGTGGTTTCCCTGGGCTTGGAGGCAGCCCCTGGGCTGGGAGGAGTCCTTCCCACTCCCCCCGTGTCTCTGTGGCCATGTGCAGGGTCAGGCTGGCCCCACGTCATCTGAGGAATACCTCTTTGTGGACATCTTGAGCCACGTCCTCAATGTCTTCTCATTCAGTCCATTCTCCAGCCGCCCCATGCTGCCCTGGCTGGGGAGAACGAACAGGGCGGTGGCGTCCCCTTGGTAGGGAACCCCCACCACCCGGCAGGAGAGGCTCCGGTCCAGGAAGTAGTAATACAAGTCTTTGTGCTTCATCATGGGCACCTGCACCACCGTCTCCGAAGTCACGTGGAAGTCCTGCTTATGAGTGTTTTTGTGGTCGAAGCTCGTCTCCCACTTAGCTAAATATTAACATGGAAAAAAGGGAGCAATTCTCAGCCACAGACGAAAAGCACAGAGACAGCAAATGCCTCCCTCAAACAGACCTCACCCTCCTCGGCGAAGTCTCCTCGGTGGCGGTGACCGCCGAACCCTGGGGAAAGAAAGGCTCGCCTTTCTAGAACTTTGGAGGCATGCCTGAACTTTCTGTGGGGCTTTTCCTTCTGCGTGTGCAGAGCCAGGAGGCTGGTTTCCATGTCTTCGGAGGCCCTTAACCGCTAAGGTTGTTTGTTTGATTCTCTGATGTTACTCGAGGTCAAACATCCAAGGGAAGAGGGTAAAAAATATGGACGTCTGACAAAGCGACACTCTATCTGGCTGAGTTATTCTGTTCTCCGCTCTTTTCCCATTTGTGGATTTTGATCTAAGTGTGGGAGGGAGGTTTGTAAGGTTCCTGGAAATACATGATTCTTCCTACTGAGAAGCCTTCAGGTATAGTTACTGCTCTGTCTGATTCCTGCACTCTTGCATCAACGGGATACAAGTAGTTGTTTCCATCTTCTTCATAGTCATCAAATACGGAACCCACCCCAGTGCCCCACTCGGCTTCTGTCACACCTGTCCCCTGCAGCCTGGTGTCATAGACAGAGCCCTGCACTAGGGGACAAGAAATCTTGGAATCCCAGCTGGGTGTTCGCCATCTGTGCTCGTCGGAAGAGGGGAGGTGTTTAACAGGTTAACTAGCTTCCTCTTTCCTCTCTCCCTCCCCTCCCCTCCTCTACCCACTCCTGCCTTCCCACCCTCAGCCAGGCCCCATACAGGCACCGAGGGGCTCAGCGTGTAGAAGGAGAAGCAGACGTGAGCACCGAGTGGGGGAGGGGTGTCCCCGAGAAATGTCAGGGAGGGACCAGCTGTTATGGAAGCGGGGAGAAGACTCTCCAAAGAGACAGGTGCTTGTTGAGAGATTTCTCCGGCCGAGGGAATGGCCCCGAGGAAGACGCTCCCCAAGGGAAGGTATTCCAAGCCCCCCCAAGACCCACGGTCCTGCCCTCAATAGCAGTACGGTGGCCATGGCGATCTCATGCTTTAGAACCAGTGTGGATGCTATGGACCGGGGCCCATGGACAGGACCCAGCACTTCCTCAGTGGAGGAAACAGCGGCCTGGTGTAGCTGACATCACCTTACACCATAAAAAGATGCTTGGCTTCCCCTCTCCTGCTTGTTGGCCTCACTCTGTCAACAGGCGCCAGAAGGGACTAAATCTACGCCCACTCCTGTATGTGTGGGAACGGGGTGCTCTCTTGACCAAAGCAGCAGAAAGGAGAGAGTTCAGGCTGGAGCGCAGGGGTCTTACCTTTAAAGAAAATGTAATTCACCATAACCATGACCTCAGTGCTATCCAGGTCCTTAACTAAGTCCACAATCTTGCCTTCAGTTTGTTTTGCCACGTAGTCGTTGATCTGCTTCTGGGCCCCTGCGGGGTCCCCAAAGTGGGCGGGGAAAGTGTCTGCCAGGTACAGAGTCCTCACGGCACTCAGGAAGGCGTCCTGGACGGGCACCGTGGGGCTGATGAACAGAGCGTTGCCAAGGTTCAGCCGGAGGCCCTTTCTGGGCCGGGCGAGCTCCCCCAGCAGTTGGCAGAAGGAGTTGTGGAGCCCCTGCTCCGAGCCCGCCTGGGGACCGAGGCCCAGGCCTTCTAGAATCTGTGCCTTCGTGTCGGACCGGGCCCCCAGGGACAGCATGGCCAGGGACGCGGAGATGCTTAGAGGGGAGAAGAAGATGTTCTGGTCGGGGGCAGCTGTAGCCAAGGCCCTGTAGAGGTCGAAGGCAAAGTCCCCGCTCACGGGGGCCACCGTGCTGACCACGGGCGCCTCCTTGACCCTCTTCTTTGTCTCCCGGGAGCCGTGGCGGTGCAGGGTGGCCCCGGGCGGGCTGAGGAACATCAGGCAGAAGAGGAGGCAGAGCGGCATTGTGGCTGAGCCCCGTCCTGAAAGGGAAAGTGGGAAGGTGTCCTCAGAGAGGAGACCGGGGGGGGGGGGGAAGCGGGTAAGGCCGGTACCCCAGAGATGTCACCACCCAGCGCACAGCATCCACGGAGACGACGAGCCCGTGAGGTTGGGAGCGAGGGTTTAAGAAGAGCCACAGGGGCTCGAGGACAGAGACCGGGGGACGTGGGGGCCTCATGGCGGGAGAGGAAGGGGAAGGCGGAGGGTGCAGCCCCGAGGTGGGGGCTGGCCACCGGGGCGAGAATGCTCTCATCCGCACCAGGGTGCGCGTCACGGGGAGGGGGGGACGTGGGGCTGGACGGCGTTCCTTGTTCTGCCTGATCAGCATCTCTGAGATGGCCACGGCACGAGACGCCTGCTTCCAAAGTGGCCTGTGACTGTCACTCCAATCCCCTGGGGGTAGCATTTGCAAGGCCTCATGGTCCTTCCGTGAACTCAGACCAACTACGCCCCACGGACCCCTCAGAACTGCTGGATTTATCCCTGTTCGCTCAGCAAACGGACATCGAGCATCATGGCGGGCAGGGGCCAGGCTCCAGAGGCTCATTCGTGACCACTCGGATGCCAATCGGCCCCTTTTCTCCTTCCCCCCCGGGGGGCTGCTCTAGGACCCTGCAGCCAACCTTGCTCCTCATCAGAGCCCCTCCCCAGCTCCCTCCACCGCACCCCCCTGTGAGGAAATCCTGCCCTCTTAATGTGAGCACCCAGACTCCTCCCCTATTCTGTGATGGCCGAATTGTGTTCCCCACACTCCTGGGTTGAGGTCTTAACCCCCAGCACCTCAGGACGTGACTGTATTTGGGGAAAGTGCCTTTAAACAGGTAATTAAGTCAAAATGATGTCTGTGGACGGGCCTTGATCCCATCTGCCTGGGGTCCGATGAGAAGAAGAGATGGGAACACAGCTTCACACGCACACGCACGGAGGGAAGGCCGCGGGAGGACGCAGGGAGGACACCGCCGTCTGCAAGTCGAGGAGACGGGCCTCAGAAGGAACCGGCCTCTCCGGCACCTTGACCTCAGACTTCGGGCCTCCAGGCAGCGAGACAGGAACCTTCTGTTCTGTGGTGCTTTGTTGTGGTCGCCCAGCCGACACCTATCTCCTTCCTTCCGCCCCCTCCGTGGGCCCTAGAGGGTCTTCAGTCCCTCTTCCCCCTTTCCTCCCTCCGGTCCATCTACCTAGACCCCTTCCCTCCAACCAGGAGCACTTCCTGTGCCCCAGAGGCCTCCCGAAGCCCCCTGTGTTCACAGTCCCCTGCAGCCCAGCCTCCTGGGCTCAAGTCTCAGCCCGGCTGCTTCTTGTGAGTGTGGTTTGGAGCAAGTCACCTACGGCCCCGTGCCACTGTCCCTCACTTGTACAACGGAGGTGATGACATTAACCCATGTCGGCCGTGGCTGGGGGCTTTAAGGACTCGACATGCCTGAAGTGTCGCAGCAGGGCCCCGCGCGGACCTGGTGCAGTAGAGTGCAAGCTGTGGCTGTGGCAGCTTCCAGCCACCCCCCCCCACCAGAGGTCCCCATTTCCTCTGCTGTGCGCGTGGGGTACGTGCTCCCAACGCTCTCGCGCCGGCCTGCCTGACCGCTGACGACAGCCTTTCTCCGGGGTGAGAGCTCCCTCCAGCTGGGTCTTCTCCCTCCTCGGACACCATGTCATCAGGTCCCCAGCCTCAGGGCCCTGCTGGAGTCCCGTGACCCACGCAAACCCAACCCCCAAAGGGCCCCAAACATCTGCATTGGACGTCGCGTGCAAAGTGGCCCGCTGAGGTGGCGGCCGGGGCGCCAGCGAGCTTGGGCCAGGCGGACCTGGGCGGCCGTTGTCTTTGAGCGAAGCCCAGCGACTTAAGCAGGCCGCGCTCACCAACCCTGGCCTCCAAATTGCCCCTGAGCTCATAAAGGAAGCCCATTTAGAATGTTGTCTGTGGAAGCTGCGGCCACCCAGGACCAAAGAGAGCAGCCTTTGGTTCCTCGACCGGCGCCATTCTGCAGATGGGTAATCTGAAGCCCAGAGAGCTTGAGTCACTGGCTGATAGTGGCAAAGCGTGGGCCCAGACCCGGTGCTGATGCTCAAGGCCGATGCTCTAAACCACCACACCATTTGGTTTCCCCACATCCCTGGGCCCCCCCTTCTGTGTCACAGCCTCTCTGTGTCACAGTCCTTGTCTTCCCGGCCTCAGCAGCCACCACTATAGCTGCTAATCTGCAGATAATTAAGAAACAGGGTCCAGGCTTCCCAGGCTGACACTCCCTTATTGTTTACACGCTGAGAATGCCAGTCTTTCAAGGACACGGGTGGTTTAATCTCGGGGCCCTTTAAAACAGTCTGTTCTGCAGCACAATATGATCCCTCCTGCAAAGTGTTAGAACCATCACCGTAGCGAGATCCTGGTGGACAAGATACGCAGCTCTCCTCCCCTTTATTATCAAAGATTAACCCCGAGCTCATGATCACCCTAAAAGAAAGGCCTTCAAAGAATAGTTGCAGGCACAGAGGGAGTTTCCTGCTTGGCTGGGGCCTAGAGGCAGTTGACTCCTGCAGGAGAGTTCTGGCCTCCTGTCCCTCGGCCTGCCTGGTGGCCTTGGGCCAGTCCCATCCCCTCTCTGGGCCTCAGTTTCTTCACAAATAACTCAAGGTCTGTCAGTTACTGTGGCCGGTAACCCTTCTTCCCTCCACTGCCCCCCACAAACACCAGGGGTCTAGGCCTGATGGGCCAGAGCCCACAGAGTCTCCCTGGGGAGTGGGGTCTCTCTGGAGGGGACCCCAGCCTCACTCACTCTCCTCCAGGCTGCAGGTGGGGACCTAGAAACCTCTCTCCATTTGGGCCCGCTCTTATCTTTTGTTAAAGCCAGTATTTAGAAAGGCCACTCTACAAATATCACTACATTCAACCGTCAACAAAAGTGAACATTATGGGCACCGTTTTACAGATGACTAAACTGAGGCTTAGCAAAATGGAATAGCTCGTGCCAGCTGGTGAGTGATGATGGAACCAGGATTCGAATCCAGATTCCTGAGTCTGGTGGATCCACTGCCTCTTGTCCGCCTTTCGTGGCTCTAAGAAGTAACAGCTCTCGTTCCTCTTCTCCTGTAGCTCCTGGTGAGCTTCCCGGGGTCTCTCGCAAGCCGTTCACCTGTATTAGCTCATTTCTACGCCTCCACAGCAACACGGAGTCGGTATCATTCTCATCATTGGTACAGAAGAGGAAACGGAGGGTCAGAGAGATCGCTTCCGAGAAAGTGGAGGCCTCGGGGTGGTCATTTCATGTTTCTTACGTTTAAGCCCGGGCTGTGCCATCCCGCTGCTGGGCCTCTGGTGGAAATGACAGAGTTGACAGAGTTTCATGCCAACCTGGACCCGGGGGTGAGTCTGCTTCGGGTCCTGGGAGCCTGGCTCTTGGGAGACCAGCTCTCCGCCAGGAGACCGGAGCCGGGCCTGGCCGACCCCCTCCTGATGCCAGCGTTTCTGCAGCAATGCCCCACGGGTCCGAGGGCGGGGGGCAGATCAATCAAGTCCATCTGGCATCCCGGGCCAAAGTGACTCGAGCCGGCTGGGGAGGGCAGGGGGTGGGCGGGTGCTGAGGAAGTCCTCCCATGGAGCCCACCCACCGTCCAGGGATTCGAAATCTGTTGCATTTACTCCAAAGGTGAGGCCACAAAGTCCTACCGGGTCAACTTTGGACTCTGCGGTGGGAGGTGTGGCTGAGGAGGTCTGTCCGCTGAAAAGGGACACGTACGACTGAGAGCCCAGGCAGGGAGGGAAAGACAAAACCCCAGGCTCCCCTGGATGCCTAAGGACGGGACGCCGGAGAGCTTCCGGGGAGCAGTGACCTAGGGAACTTTCTTCACCTCCCTCCCCGTCCCCAGACCACCTGCAAGGCTTGTCGGTTTCTAGCTCCAGAACGGGTCTCACGCCTGCCTGCCTCTCCCAGTTTTCCGTGCCACGTCCTTATAGGAAACCTGCCGCCTTTCGCCCCGACCACCCCACACCTCCTCCTGCCCCCAGACCCATTCTACACACGGCATCTGAAGGATTCTCCCTCAGTCCCCGACTGGGTCTCAGCGCCCTGCCGCCTAGGAGTGCCATTGCCAGCCTCCGTGTGCAGGGCAGGACCTAGCCGATCCGTGCGATCACCACCGGGCCCCGTGTGGTCTGGCTCCGCCCGGCTCTCCCCAGCCTCAGCCCCATCTGCTCTGTCCTTGCTCACGTGTGTCCTCCGGGTACAGTTCTCAGCTCAGCAGACAAGCCCCGTCACAGTCCTGAGGCTTTGCACGCCGTGCTGTCCCCTGGAACCCTCTGTCAGCCTCCCTGACCACGGCCAGCTTCTCCCTGGGCCTCAGGCCCCTGCTTGAATGCCACTTCTGGGTGATGCCGTGGCCCTGCCTGGCCCTCCCGCTGCAGTAGCATTCTCTTATCACGGCCCCTCCGTTTCACCCACTGCTCCATCAGCGATGGAAATGCAACCCCACATCATGGCTTCTTGTGTCCCGGCCTCTCTCCCCGACTCGAACATGTGCTCCTAACAGACAGGACCCGCATCGACACCTGCTCTTGCCGTGAGATTTGCAGTCAGCGATGGTGCTCAGACACCTTTGTGGAATGAATGAATGAATGAATGAGTGAGTGAAGTCCTTCTCTGTGGCTCAGAGGTTTTAGAGCACACACGCTGGACGCGGAGCCGGGCTGGGCACCCAGGGCTGAGCCCTCCTGGCCCCAGGGCTAACTCTGCCAGGTGACCTTGAACACCTCCCACCCTGCTGTTCACCTTCTGTTTTCCTTTTTCTTTTTTTAAGACCATTTTCCTGAGGCGCGACTGCCATACGAGAAGCCACTCCTATTTACCCTGCACACCTGCGAAACCACCTTCACCACAAACACCCACCACGTCCTGACCCCCCCCCCCCCCCCCCCCCCCCCCCCGCCCACCACCTTATTCTTCACGCTGCGGCTTCTTAATCAGTGAACGGGGACGTTGGTCAGGGGTGCATCGTCCCCTTTTATGGTTACACTTCTTGCCAAGGGCCCCGTCCTTAGAAACACTGAAAATCACACTCCTTTTGTGTCTACGTGTTGCCTATTTCACCAACAGCCAAGCGGCGTCTGGCCCTCGAGGAGCCACTGTGGTCATTCTGGGAGGCAGCCCTCCGGGCAGGGCGGCCCCAACTCGGGGAAACAGGTAAACGGGTACGTGATCGCTTCTCGTGATTGCTAGAGGTCCGAGATTGCAGGCACAGAAAACAAGAGAGAAAAGCGATGGCCTCCGGGGAACCCGCCTGTGTGCCGCACACTCTGTCCCCACTACGTCATTTCTGAGTTTGTCTGCCTCGGCGCTGTTGGCATTAGAGGCCGGGGTATTCTTTGTCGTGGTGGCTGTCCCGTGCCCTGTAAGGGGTTTAGCAGCGCCCCCGGCCTCTACTCTACTCGCTAGATGCCAACACAACCCTCTCTCCAGTTGTGCCAACTAAACATGTGTCCAGATGTTGCCAGACGTGCCCTGGGGATAAAGGCACTCCCGGGTGAGAGCTACCGTATCACTGGACCCTCACGGTCGCCACGCAGAAGATGTGATCATTTGCATCTCACCTACAGGGAAACTGAGGCGCAGGCAGATTTAGAGTCGTGCCTGAGTTCACACAGCTGGGAGAGGGGCACACAGGCCCTGGCTCCTTTCCCCTCACTGCGGGGAATTTTCCTGTTCACTCTGGGACAGCACCAGAGCTTTGAAGCCCTCCAAATCCCATAACCCCAGCCTCCTGTCCTCGCCGCTCCACGCACACCCTCACGCCCCCGGGCCCTCCGTCTGCCCACAGCATCTTGTACTCACCCTGTCCCATGGCCGAGCGTGCACACGGCGCAGGTGACAGTCCCTCACGCTCAGTGTAAAGCAGAGAGCCTATGGGGCAGGAACCAGCATTTGTCACTGACCACAGTCGGGCTCTGACTCCGCCCCCCCTTGGCCCAGCCCTGTCCTGTCCCGTGGGTATTCTAGCCAACAGGCAGGCCGCAGGGACAGCCACCTGAGCTCTGACCCGGGCTCGCTTCCCCACCGGCCCCACACAGACCCCCGTTTGCCTGCAATGGCACAGGGTCCCCAGGGGAGCGACCTGCTGCTGGCATTCCAGACACAGGGAAAGGGACACCCTCTGGCAAACATCTCTTTCCCCGGGCTGATTCCTCTGTCTCCTGCAGCCGCTTAGCTCTACATCGGGGGGAGTGTGGTGTGAGCCTAAGGTCCCCACAGCCCCCCACGTGCTTGCCGGATTCCTGGGCAGTGCTTACCAGATCCATTCAACGGTGAGAGTCTGGTGGGACCCAGAGGGGCTGACCGTGTCACAACGGTCCCCTCTCTGCACTAACAACTGCATCAAGGTTCGAAAAGATGAGTGGACTTTTCAGAATCAAGCATCAAATTAGGGACAAAGTGGGTCCGAGGGCCCAGGTCGCCAACTTCAAAGTCAGGGCTCTTACAAAAGGGCCGTATCTAGGATTTCCGTGGGCTCATCTGGACTGCCCTTTTCGACCTTGAAACTGGGGCTCTGAAGCACAGCCCCACCCTTTCAAGAGCATTTCCAAGATGCTGGGGCAGGTGCTGGCTCAACCTTTATTTCATTCCCAAGGTCCCCATGGCTGCGGCTTCCTAATACCGAGGAGTCCCGGGTATGGCCACGACCCAGAGGTTTTGTGGGTGAGCTGGGGTGTGGAGCTGGCAGAGGAGACGGGGTGGTGGGGGTGGGAGGGGGCAGGTATCGCCTAGGGACGCCATCTTGGTGTTCGGCAAGCAAGGGTCCCTCTACAACCTCTGTGACCAGGAGGGGACTGAGCTCGGCCTCAATCTGGAGATAAACACAGTCACTACCAGACGTCAAGCACTTGCTTTGGGCTCAGCGCCTTCCGCACGTGCAGGAAGGTGGGTACCAGCACCCCCATCAAATCACTGAGGAGACAGAAGCAGAGAGAGGTTAGGCAATCAGCCCACAGGCACACAGCTAAGGAGAAGCGTTAGCAAGGGGGAAGCTTGGTGTCGTCTGTCCCCAGGCCATGTGACCTAGCAAAAGTCTTTCCTTTCGTAACCTAGAGATTCCTAAACTATGTTCTGCAGGGTGGGAATCATGTGAACACCTGTGCCGGGATGGATACCGTGTCCCGCAAAGACATCCCCGTCCTGATACCCAGGACCTGTGAATGTCGCCTCCTGTGACTAAAGGGACTTTGCGAGTGTGTCCCTAAAGGCACTTTGAAATGGGGGTGGGGAGGAGACTGTCACAGATTACCCAGGTGGGCCCTAACTGTAATCACAGGGGTCCTTACAAGGGAAAGCAGTGGGAAACCAGAATCAGAAGAAGGCGACGTGATCACGGAAACAGGAGAGAAGGCTGCGACGTGGGGCCATGGGCCAGGGACCCTCAGAAGAAAGCCCTGCTGACTTCTCGATGTTGACCCAGCAAGACCCATTTTGGACTTTGGACCTCCAGAACTGTCAGCGAATAAATGCTTATCGTTTTAAGCCACTAAATTTGTAATAATTGATTACAGCAGCGACAGGATCCTGGTACAACCAATACTCCCAAATGGGCTCCAGATGGAAGCATTGGGGAAAGATGGGGTTAACCAAGACAGGAAGGACTTTTCCAGCTGTTCATAGACACGTCCCATGTATCGCTTTCTAAGCCTATATTGTAAGGAATCTCTTGAGAATCTGGAGAAAGTCTGTGGCAGCCCCTGACTCTCCTTGCCACTCGGGAAGGGGGCAGAGGCCGGGTAAGTTCCGAAGAGAAAGGTTTGGGGGGCACGCTGGTCTCAGGGCACGATGCCCCGTGCATTAGCCTGCTAATTAGGCTACCATAACAAAATAGCATAGACTGGGAGCTTCAACGGCAGACATTTATTTTCTCCCTTTTCTGGAGGCTGAAAGTCCAAGATCAAGGTGACATCCCATGCGGTTGCTGGCGAGATCTCCCTTCCTGGCTTGCAAATGGCACCTTCTCACCTTGTGCTCACATGGGCTCTTTGTGCATAAGAGGGACACAGGCGGTTCTGGTGTCTCTGCCTCTTCTTGTAAGGACATCATTCCTGTGAGGTTAAGACCCAACCTGTATGACCTCATGGAACTTTAATTAACTTCCCTAAAGGCCCCATAGTCACATTGGGGGTTAGGGCTTCAACATGTGAATTTGGGGAGGGGGCACACTTAAGTTCATAACAGCCACAGTGAGAGGGTAGGAGGGGCCAGTGACCAGAATATGGGAATTTAAAGACCCGTGTTATTTGTGACACATTTATTTTTTGATTAACACCAAAAGCGACAGAGAATGCCATCCCCAACAGGTGAGTTTCACGCGGGGCAGAGGTGGGTTCTGCTCGGCCCAGCCCGCTGAGTGTAACAATGTTGAGGAGAAATGTCTTTCAATAAACAGGGGCCTTGGGGCGCCTGGGTGGCTCAGTCAGTTAAGCGGCCGACTTTGGCTCAGGTCACGATCTCACGGCCCGTGGGTTCGGGCCCCGCGTCGGGCTCTGTGCTGATGGCTCAGAGCCTGGAGCCTGCTTCGGATTCTGTGACTCCCTCTCTCTCTTCCCCTCCCTTGCTCATGTTCTGTCTCTCTCTCTGTCTCTCAAAAAATAATAAATAAACATTAAAAAAATAAGAAAAAATAAATAAATAAACGGGGGTCTTTACTGACCTACCCTCCTGGACCCCAACACTGTCAGCCCACTTTACCAGTTCAGGTGACCCGCCAGCTCTGGCTGTGACTGTGTTCTAGAGGATAGGGGAGGACAGGGTTGTGACAAAAGATGAAATGCGATAATAGTTAACAGTCGTGGAGTGCCAGAGGTGTGTGCTTTACGTGTAGTAACTCATCCAGTGCTCAAGATGGGCTTCTGTGTTAGGTAATGTCTCCATTATACAGGTAGGGGAACTGAGGCTCAGAATAGCCCATGTTGGGAACGTCTGGCTGGCTCAGTGGGTTAAGTGTCCGACTCTTGATTTTGGCTCAGGTGATGATCTCATGGTTTGTGGGTTCGAGCCCCACATCGGGCTCTGTGTTGACAGCTCAGAGCCTGCAGCCTGCTTGGGATTCTCTCTCCTTCTCTCTCTGCCCCTTCCCTGCTTGTGCTCTTGCTGTCTCAAA